GTTTAGGTAGGTATACTACAACTGAGTAGCAATCTTCCTACACGCTAGAGTTGCCATCTATCCAAGGCCAATCGGTTCACAAAAGACTTAGGATTAGAAGGGGTCTTAAGCGAAAAGTTAGGTATCAAGGTAGCTACAGGTTGGTGCTGTAGGTTCAAGGACTGGTTGAGCTTACAGTAAAAATAGTAGTGGAAAGGTCCCATAGGGCAGTGTAGGAGAGAAGCTGATAAGGGCGACTCTTCAAATTTTAGAATTTTGTCTGCAGTCACGACACGGGCCTCATTCCATTTCCGATTGGTCTTCTCCTTCTTCTGCGGATAACAGTAAAAAGTAGCCTAATAGTTAAACAAAAGAAAGTCCAGTTGGTGTAGGCAGTTTCAAAAAACAATTTCATGTGGAATATTTAAAATTACTTTTTTTTCTGAAGAGAATGTGTTGTTACCTCGTACAATAAGCAAAATTCTTTTAAGAAATACTTGCTTATTTTTGTATACTATATTGTTAAAAATGAAATTGAAAGCTATATTAAAAAATAAGAAGACATAAGGTAAAGCAAGAAGAAATACAGTAACAGATATACCTAGAACTTTGGCTGTATAGAATTTTTCGCTTCTCATTTTTTGTTGAAGAGGGAGAGGTTTTTTGTTTGACATATCAAAACTAAGGTTAAACGCAAAACTTTCACTTCTGTAAATAGAAGAATTTGTAGATCTTCATAGCTTTCAATATCCTTGACAACGCGCTCGCGTTGTCAAACTGTATTCAGTTGTGCAATAATTTTGAAAACATTAATGGTATAAAACAGTAGTACAGAAGAAAGCGTGAATATTGTCTTGACGGTTAAAAAACAGAAAGTCGCATAAAACGAAAAATTTCAATAAGATATTTTAAACTGAAATTCACAGAAAACCTTCACTTTTGTAAACCTACACCCGATAGGAATTTTTCAATTTCGGGTTTTGAAAAAATAGCTTCAAATCTCGCAATACGCGCTCAGTATTGCGAAGTTCTGATTTGTGCTCTGCAAATGAGGATGAACTGTTGCCAAAACTTGTGGATACTGTTTCAAAGATGATGAGTTACTTTGGATACCTTGATTTCCTCTAGAAAGAAATACTTTTTTACCCACCTATCAGAATTTCTCTGACAAGAGACGCTTCATATCAAATCTCTAAGGTTAAATTGTTCCGAATCAATTATGCACAGCACTTTTCAGGGATGCTATTCAAAAAAAAAAAAAAAATGAAAGAAAAATAGTAGAGAAAAAGAAACCTTAATATAATATTTACAATCTCAAAGTAATGGAAAATTTTTACTTCTGCAAACACAAAAATCTGTAAATACCATCCGTCCCGTACTGCTCTGAAAAATCACAGTCCTGTAATAACGATATGTGTTGACGCTCCTGCAGATGGCAGAGGACTATGCCAGAAAACTTGCGGATATTGCCTCACCGGCAATAAATGACTTTCAACTTTTCCGCTGTTTTAAGTGAACAAAGGAAATCAAACACACGCATTTAGTTCCCAGGAAGCTCAGATTATGCTATTCACTACAAAATCCACACCTTTTCATGGTTTGTTATAACACTTTCTCGTGCATTTTGTAGAAGAGGCTTCAAGCTCACTTTGTTTACTTCATTCGATCTCATCCACTCAGTTTCGAGTCTCTACCATTTAGTAACAACTGCCCTCTGGAGTGAATCGCAAAATTTTATAACGTACAGGATGAGGGCCTCTGTCATCATTTCGAATAAACGTCTCATTATTATTATTATTTTTATTTTATCATTATTATCATTACTATGACCATTATTCTAGGAATAACACGAGAATTAATGAGGTTTTTGAACAGGCTGAGAGAGAATCTAAGAGAGTTTTTTGAAACCTCAAGTTTAGATGTAGAGTGGAGCAGTAGAACAAAGATCAAAGTTGAAAATATTTAGAAAACAGATTGAGATCACCGTAAGGTACAAAATAAGCAACTTCTTTCTAACTCATTCTATCTGTCCAAACACTTTCCAGTTACAAATGGTACAAAACTAAAAGGTTCAAATCCCCACAAAATTCGTATTTACTGTCTCAGTATCATCAGACAATTTTCTGCAAAAGCGGTAAACACGTATCAGAAGTTTTATACTGTTTACGCTAAGCTCGTTTATCTAGAGTAATTTTTTTTCTTTTTGGTGATAATGATGCACTATAAAAGAATCAAAAGCGTTCCGCCACAAAACACTAAATACAAGTTTTTGCAGCTGCTAAAGTAGCTTTTTAAGCTACTTTTCTGAACGTAATTTTTGCTGAGAAAGACAATGCGCCTACGCAAGAAAATCAAAACTTCCACTTTTTTGCTCTGCTCGTCCCCAAGAGGAAAAGAACTTGTTCTCCGAAAACTAGCATTACTGTTAGGAGCACGGTGAATGACTTTAGAAAGAAGAATTTTTCGCTTCAATTTGGTTCAGTTTTTTTCTGACGTGTCTGTTTTTTTAACCGTTTTTAAGAACCTTTCCTACTTAAGATGAAATTAATAATCATCTTAAAGCTGGTGATGTTCATCTTGATCTTCACGACTCCTTTGCAGAAATTACAACACTCTTCTTGGAAATGAATAGATTGATCTCCCAGAGCCAGTCCGCAGAGAGATCCAGATTTTACTAAACAAAAACAGGTCAATTCTTTTGCAGATGTAAAAAATTTTTTTATAAGATTTCCTCACCATGTAACTGGTAGCTCAATGTGCCAAAGAAATTCTTATTCTACTAAAATCAATGTATTCCTTTTTTTCTTAAGGAAATGAATGTGTTGACCTCAGCAGTCTTCCCCTCTTTTTAAAGAAGTATTAATTGTCTTGAACATAAACAAATCGGAAAGTTACTAATTTCCTAATGTAAGGTCAACTTCTACAGTGCTGGAAGAAAATGAATCTTGTGACACAAAGGATGTTGTGACTTATTTACTGCAAAGGAGTGTAACTCTAAAGTGAGTTAATCTTATGAAGTAGTACTGCAAAAAAACTTTACACTGAGGCTAAAAAACTGAAAACAAATTATCGAAAAAGGCTTCACAACTGAAGCATCAACTCGATAAGTCCAAATGTCTAATAATGGCACTGCAGTAATCTCAGGTCAGACTATTTTAGCGGTCGTTATTAGTGCATTGGCACATTGCCAAAAACCATACTTTGGTGGGGCATAAAATCAGCAAAAATAAAATTTCACTTATAAGATTGACTTTGCGTTTACACCAAAAGATTAATTCGTATTTAAGATCAAAGCATACACTACTGGGTGTTTAGCATACTGAAACATACTCGTATACGTGAGTAAAATTCAACCAACTTATTTCTACTGCAAACTATGCAGGTGTCCTCTCTCATATAGTCAGTTTTTTTTTCTTCTAATATTTCTTCAGAAAATGTCACCAAATTTTAAATCTTTAAGATTCCTGTATCTTACGGTTACTGGCAGTCTGAAATAGAATTTGCACTAACAGTTATTTAGATGTGGACTAAACTTTGACTTTAATTAGAAAAGAATCAAAATTTTTGAAACATAAACATTGGTAGCAGATTTTTGCTGTAATTTTATTGACCAGTATTCAGTCTCATTTTTTATCGTCATTTCGTCCTGTTATTTGTCGCTGTAATTATTTACTGCTGTTTATATCATAAAAAAGCATGAGTTCATCAAACTTTTATTTGTTAGCAGTGTTGATCAGTCAAGAAATTTTTAAGGTTTTATTATGGGCTCCGTAGACCAGTGGGTTAACGACGAACTGTACAACATCTTAGGAATCAGTGATCGGACTATAGGACAGTTTATAATTGCATTGGCACGAAAATCGACTGATGCCGAAGATCTGTTGAGAAGGTTTCGGGAAACTGATGCACTGGATATTAATCCAAGAGTTCAGAAATTTGCTGGGGAAATCATGACTCGTTTACCTCATGCAGGTATGGAAGTTAAAAAACGGTTTCAATTTAATTTGAAGTTATAATTTAGTAATTATTTGTGAATATGTATTCGTAATACATAATTTCCAGTTTATTTCAAAAAAAAAAGTTGTAGTTCCAAAACCGATGAAAGTTCCGGGCGCTACAGTTGCGGAGACTAAAGCTCGAGAAGCGATGCGGTTAAACAGGCGTCTGAAACAGTTGTCTTCTGATGAAGAGGATGACGCGCCGGTTGTAAAGAAAAAGGAGGTATTACTGAAGTCTTTGGTTTTATAAAAAGAAAATGCTTTTATAAAAGGCTATACTGGATGCATAAAATTTGATGATGGCGGGCGCTATAAGTTTTAGGATGTGAGACTCTAGCTGAGCCTCAAAACTCTACTTTCTTGCCTGAAATGAGGGATTTTTCTAAATGGTAGTGGAGTAATTATTGCGCTGCTTGGGCTGAAATTTCATGTAAAATATACAGCGAAATAAAATGAATTTCCTATACTTTAAAATAAAGGATTTTCGCTCCCAAAAAATTTCGCACCAAATTAGAAATAACTTCCCCTATACTTAAAATAATAACTACAACACAAACAACATATGTTCGTAATGTAGGTTGCACTAGATTCTAGTAAACTAGTTTTAAAGTCTTAAAAAATGCCGTTCAGGATTACTACGGTCAATAGCTTTTCGTCTGTTTAATGTAAGAAGTGCTCTACAACTGGTGAGCTAGAATTATTTTTATTGGTGGCGAATTTTTCACGATTGACTGGTGATTCCTAGTCAAATTCAAATCAGGAAAGTAAGCAAGCCAAGTTGAAAGTTTGTCTTTGTGGTTCCAGAATTCTTTTACATTTAGTTTTCCCTCATATCGACCATTTGTTATCAAAATTTTTTGCTAAAACATCGACAGAATTTAAATTTGCTATCGGTGCAAGAAGATGCCAGTATCTGGTAATTTTGTAAAGAGGTCTACGTTTCCCTTTGGGATTGGCCGTTCTAGAGTTTTTACCATGTTTATTTGTCGCAGTTGCTCGCCAAAAGTTATCCTCCGCCTGAAAAATGCGAGTTTGTCTTTTCACAACAGAAATTACTTAGTTTAGGTTTATCCGGAAATATGACTTGAAATCTTCATTTTTTTTTATTCAATTAAAATGCCTAATCCTTTCATTGACGCAAACGTCTATTTCGGGGCTACTCTATCTTTATAGTACTAGGTTTCCCGAAAGCTTTTTGACTTTCCCTATAGTCAAACAGGAACTTCTTTTGCCACAACATAAATGCTAGTACTTTGCATTTTAAAGCTAAAAAACCGGTAGAATTTTCCTTATTGCAACATTTCGCTTGAAAATGCAAGTGCTGTCGACCTGTTTAGGAAGTTAGTGATAAATATGTCCCTATACCAAGACGCTAGTTTAAAATAAGATGAATAAGAACTTTTGAGGTGCTAAGATTATCATTTCCAAATACCGTTTGTTTTCTTTTTGAACACTTTTTTCATCCTTTTTTTTCAATTTCTGAAGGCTTGCTTCTTTGGCGTCTTACTTCTGCTTTTGTCGTTTTTGATTTCTAGTTTTCTGTAATCGTTTTGTTCTTTGAACTCGCTTTTTTGAACTTTCTTCTCGTTACTTTGTTTGACATTAAAAAGAAAGTTCCATTTTTTCATTTGATTGTTTTTTGCTCGTTATCATTTTAAAGATTTTTTGGATTTATTTTTTCAATTACTTATTCATTTTTAGGAACTGAAGATTTATTGGAATTTTCACAGCGTCTTTTTTAGTTCTACTGCTTCTGAGTTGCTTTTCTGAAGTTCTCAATTTATTTATCTATTGCGCGCCTATAGATCGGATGAGAGTTTTCAAACGCTTTTCGTGGTAAAAAATCCTGTTTGACGACGTCGGCTGTGCAGACTGGTGAAGATGGTGTCTACTGATCAAGTTCATTGCAATTAAAATTATCTTTCATTTGTAAATTAAGCCCATGTTACGAAGAAAGCGTTTGGAATGTATCTGTTCAAGCACAGAGTAGCAAGCGGCTGCCTATTCACCATCTGGCTGCCGGTAGACAATATGTTCAGTTACTTCCCCCTTTGAGTGAGTTGGTTGTTGTCAACCACATTTGCAATCTGCAAAAAAACGTGTCTATCACCTTTCCAAAACATGTTTTTTCTTTTTTTGAGTTGTCAGCCTTTTAACGAGAAAATCTTTGTTTTGAGCAGGAAAGGCTTCGAAGTTTCACAACTTGTTAGGGTAGGAGGGTTGGTTGCTGTTGAATACGACTGTAAAAATAAGTTTCTGATTTTTGTTTCGAACATTTTTTTTGCTGTTTATGATCTTCGTTATTATAATATAGCTGAGCAGAAATAAACGAATTGGAAGTGGCTTGATTTTTCAGAAACATGGACGTAAGAAACTAAGTGCAATTGATGAAATGGATTTGATAAATGCGGATGAAGAACAAGACATAAGGGAAAGAGATGAGTTGGCTGCTAGGATCCGTCAAAGGGATAAAGAAAAGACAAGGAATATAGTAGAAAGAAGCGATAAGAAAGCTGCTGAAGAGGCTGCTAAAAGGTTATAGAAATCTAACAGTTGCAGAGATGATAGCCTGTTATGAAGAAGTTGTCCTAATTATTATTTTTAAGGTTAAAGCTAGAAGATGTTGACAGAAGTAAAATTATACCGGAGCTGCGACAACAGAGTCGGAAAGAATACCTGAAGAAACGAAAAGCAGACAAACTTTTGGAGCTAGAAGCAATGATTGAAGACGACAAAACTCTTTTTGCAAATGAAAGGCAGTGATTTCATCTTGCTCTCTTTTTTCTTCTCACCGTCAAGTTTAAAGTTTCTTGTAATTCTCGAATCTTATTTTACTTTCTTAATATCATGTTCTGGACGTGTTTAACATTAAGTTTTGGTTAAACTTGATTTTTTTCAACATATTTTCTACGCTACTGAATGTTATTTGGAGGTCCCTTCAAATTGTTCAATTTTAGATTAACTGCTCGAGAAGTTGCCGATATGAAGTACCGTGAAAAGGTTTTTCATTACGCAAAGCAGCATGAACAAGCGGTTGATATAATTAAAGTTAAGCGTTATCATGTCCCAGATGCTAAGGTGAAATCTATTCCTACTGAATATATTGAGGAAGATGTTGAAGAAGTATCGAAAGGAGATGGAAGACGTTGGGAAGACGAACGCCTAGCAGCTGCTTTAGCAAGTTATGGAGCAAAGGATGCTGAGAAAGTAATCGCTTTTACCTTAATCTTATTTTTCTAAGCTGTTGTTTAGAACCTATGTTTCTTTTTTTGAAAAACGGATTATGTGAAAACCTTTCAGAAAAAAGATGAGTTTGAAATGTTGTTTGACGATGAAAAAATCGATTTTGTACAAGCTCTGCAAATGCCAGGATCTTCTGGAATGCAGGTATTAAGATTTCCTGTCATTTTTTGCACTAGTTTTTTCTGACACAATAAAATCTTCTGTTTCTTCTCTATAAGGTAATACATTTTGAAAGCTGAAAGGAAGATCGCTTTCAGGATGAGAAAGAATTGACCCCAGCTCAGAAAAAAAAGCTAAGTCTAGCTGAAACGAGACGTTCTTTACCTGTGTACGCTTTTAGAGATCAATTTATTCAAGCAGTTAAAGATCATCGAGTTTTGATTATAGAAGGAGAAACTGGTTCAGGCAAAACAACACAACTACCGCAGTATCTATACGAAGCAGTAATATTATGCACTTTTTCCAATAATTTATCATTTTAGAAGTTCCACAAATTCCTTTTAAACTGTATTTGCGTTTATGTGATTTAGTAAATAAACAAATTTTAGGGGTTTTGTGCGGATAAAAAATGCATAGGATGCACCCAGCCTCGTCGAGTGGCTGCAATGAGTGTAGCTGCAAGAGTCGCTGAAGAAGTTGGAGTTAAATTGGGAAGTGAAGCAAGTTTCGCCAACTGTTTCTTCGTTATTATCGTTATCATTATTATAATTTTTTAATTAAATTTTGTCTTTACTTTTTTCCTTGTTCAGTATTTATACATGAAACACTTTCAACACTTATTTTTAGGTAGGATATTCTATTCGCTTTGAAGACTGCACTTCTGAGCGTACTGTCATTAAATATATGACAGACGGGATGTTGCTTAGGGAGTTTTTGAATGAACCTGATTTGGCTTCTTACAGGTATTTATTAATCTTAAATGGTTGTCGAAAGAAAACAGATTTTTTTTTTTATTTTTTGGAAAATATCATTGTATTAGAATTTAACAAATGCAAACATTTGTACAAAAAAATGAATTTCTTCTACTTCAGTGTGATGATGATTGATGAAGCACATGAAAGAACTCTTCACACAGATGTACTTTTTGGACTTGTTAAAGATATTGGTCGATTTCGGCCAGACCTTAAATTACTTATTTCATCTGCAACTCTTGATGCAGAAAAGTTCTCGACTTTTTTCGACGATGCTCCGATATTTCGTATTCCTGGTATTTCTATTAAATATTTTTTGCTTTTTACGGGAAGTCACCTTAATATATGTTCGTCGTCTTTGTAACCTGTTTTTCTGTGTTTAGGAAGAAGGTTTCCTGTTGATATATATTACACAAAAGCTCCAGAAGCAAACTATTTGGATGCAGCAATGGTGTCTGTGCTGCAGATTCACCTCACCCAACCTCTTCCCGGAGACATTTTAGTTTTTTTAACTGGTCAAGAGGAAATTGAAACATTAATGGTAAATTAAATTTTTTTTTCTCGTCCTGCTGCATCTATTGAGTTTTTGTTTTTTTTTTTAAATTGTTCTGCCGCTGCTTCCCTTCAGGAGTCATTATTGGAGAGGATTAAATATCTTGGGAAGAAGATTAAAGAACTTATAGTCTTACCGATATACGCAAACCTCCCTTCGGACTTGCAGGCAAAAGTTTTTGAACCTACCCCACCTAATGCTAGAAAGGTTGCTTTCAACTTTTTGGCTTTTGAAATTGCTGTCTTTAAATTTCTCTTTGCTAAGCTGTTGCCTTTTTTTGTTAGAATAAGTCAATTCGCAGAGAATGCTTTGTGACGTTATCTTCCTTTTCGATTTTACTGATTTAATTAGAAATAAGATTTATATAAACATCGTAAAACTTCGTCTTTACTCCAACTAGTCAAATCGTTCGCTGCAATAAGATTACTCACAAAATCTTTCGGTTGTATTTTGAATGCTTATAGCCTGTTTAGCTTAGCACTCTCGTGTTTTAATAGCGACTCATGAAGAGTTGCCTTACAGGTTGTTCTTGCTACAAATATTGCTGAAACTTCTGTTACGATTGATGGTATATGTTATGTAATAGATCCGGGATTTTGTAAGCAGAACTCTTTTGATGCTCGTAGTGGAGTAGAACACTTACAAGTCGTGCCAATTTCGAAGGTACACTTATCAGCCGCCTTCATTAATTCATATTATCTTGATGTTAACAGCTCTCCTTGATTGTTTTTTGGTGTGATAAAAGACCTGTTTAGGCTGGCGCTAATCAGCGTGCAGGCAGAGCTGGCCGAACCATGCCGGGAAAATGTTTCCGGCTTTATACCGCGTGGGCATATAGGCATGAATTGGAAGACCAGCCAATACCCGAGGTTACCTTCTGTTGATTTTTTTTTAAACTTTCTTGGTTCCATTTTTTTGTTTTATATTGAAAGAGTTTCTTTTGCAGATCCAGCGTGTAAATTTAGGAAATGTGGTTTTGATGCTCAAAAGTCTTGGCATTCACGACCTGCTAAATTTTGATTTCCTTGACCCTCCACCGCAAGAGACTTTAGTTATTGCTCTTGAACAGTTGTATGCATTAGGCGCGCTAAATCACAAGGGGGCTTTGACAAAATTAGGAAGAAGAATGGCAGAGTTTCCTTGTGATCCATGCATGAGCAAAATGATAATTGCGTCAGAAAAGTGAGTTACAACGGTTTACACTAAATTTTTCAAATCTGTTTCCAGAAATGCTTTTTTTCTGTTGTAATTAAGAAAAGGTGTACTCCTCTAAGTTATTTTAAAAGTAACGCATTGTTGCGTGGAATTGTTAGGTACGAGTGCTCTGAAGAAATACTTACTATTGCTGCCATGCTATCTTGCAACGCTGCAGTTTTTTATCGTCCTAAAGCTATGGCGATTCATGCAGACGCCGCCAGGAAAGGATTCTGGTCTCCAGGAGGAGATCACTTAACACTTCTCAATGTTTACAATCGGTGGAAGGACACGAATTATTCATCCCAATGGTAAACTTTCTTTTTAAAATGATCTTTCTGGTTTTCTAGGATGTGTTATTCACTTAATAAGAATGACATTGGCTTTTATTATCTTTGAGGCAGTGCCATTTGTGCGTAAAATAATGCCACTTTCCGCTGTTTTTTAGGTGCATTGAAAGTTTTGTACAGCATCGGACAATGAAAAAAGCCAGAGACATAAGAGATCAATTAGAGGGGCTTCTGGAGAGGGTTGAGATTGAACAGGTTTGCATTTATTTGATTTTAGTTGCCATGCTTCTTATGAAGTTGTATGCTATAGAAATCTGACAAAGAACTTGAAAAGTGGAGTAATATATCACAGTTAAATCCATTATTGTAAAGTAATTTTTAAATGAGTTTTCAGAAGTCCAATAACGACTCGGTTGCCATAAGAAAAGCTGTAACGTCTGGTTATTTCTATAACTGTTCAAAACTTGATTCTAATGGCCATTACAAAACTGTGAAACACAAACACACTGTTCATATTCATCCGAACTCGTCTCTGTTTGAGGATATGCCGCGTTGGGTTGTGTACTTTGAACTTGTCTTTACCTCAAAGGAGTTTATGAGAGAGGTTTTTTATGCTTTTTTTCAAATATAAATTTTCATTCTGCCATTTTTTACTAGCTCACTTTACAGGTTATTGAAATTGAAAGCTCATGGTTGACAGAGATCGCTCCTCATTACTACAAAGCAAAAGAGATAGAAGATTTTACAAAGCGAAAAATGCCAAAACAGATGGGGAAAACTGCACAAGAGTTGCTCTCCGTATAAGGTGATGCTCAGTATCGCTTATTTCACTCAACAGATACCGACTTTGATAATAAAAATGACTTTTTTACTTGTATTGTCTTGTCGGAAAGTTGGAGAGTTAGGGTTTAAGTTACGCTGCCATGTTGCACTGCATTCAATTATTTTGGTTTAAATTTCATTTTAACATTTAGTGTTTGTCGTAGAACCATGAGACGGTGCCAATGGGACTAGTATTAACAGCTTTTGCCTTCAGTTGTTCACCATCAGTTTCCGTACATATTGTTGGGTAATGTTTGTATATATGCGTTGTTAATTACTCTTTGTAACCTTGAAAGATAGCTATGTAGTAAGTATCGCATTTTTAATTTTTTACAGGAACATACACGTACAAGTGGCTAGAAATAAGGCTTTTTTTTCTAGTAAGCCTCATATTTTTCTTGTCTTGCTGTAATGCTTGTTTGACTTTATATTCTTTTTTGCGCCACTTTTTGCGGGTCGTGATATAGATTCTTTTAAATTGTTTTTTTTCCTCCTATTAAAAACAGCATACCTTTGTGGGTGAATTCGGAAGCAGTCAGCTTTTGTGGAGAATTTCTTAAGTTTTAAGTTCTGTAAGTTCCCGTCAAGGTTTCATAACTTTTCATGTCTGTGGATCTGTAAGTATGTGTAAGTGTTGTATAAACCGAGGACGTCCTCTGACTTTAAGTCCTGAAATTTTTGAAAGGGAACTCTCTTCCTGAAAGTCGAATGGTTTCTGGTGAGGAATGACGTATCGTTCAAGGACAGCGTCATGTTACCTTAGACACCCCAAATAAGCAAGCCTTATCTAAAGCTATGGGACTGCTAGTAATTATGCTAGTTTTTTTGAAGATATCAAGATTGGTTTGATGGACACTGAAATTCTAGTATAACCATTTACCCACTCATAGCATCATCTTCCCTTCTGCTTTCCTCCCTCAAATTTTTCCGCGCACTGGTATATCCGTTTACAAGAAACCTGACACCTCGGAGCTAGTGAACATGACAAAAAAACATGGCATGTTATTCTTCTGAATAACAACAGCTTTACGGAAAAGCCGACAACTTTCTGCTTGGCAAAAGAAATGTCTCTCGTACGACCCATCCCTACCAGTATTTGCCAGAAATTTCTACCGCCAGCTTGCTGTCTCACAAAAAAACACCGGTGAACTACAAAAAAAAACTTACGAGTTGCAAGGATTGCTATCAAAAATACTAAACGGAACGCCTCAGTAGTCACAGCTCGAATGTTCCACACTTTCCCATTCTCAGCTGCTCCCATTCAGTGCAATATTTACCGATCAAAAGTTTATCCATAGAGCACACAAAAAAATACAAGCAGTAAAAATACTAATGAGAACAAATTACTCAACAACCACGTTCAAAAATGAATGGTAAACAGAGCTGAACAAAAAACAGCTTTATAACGTTGATTAATAGCAACAAGACAAACAGAATTAGTTTCAGTGATGAACCTGCGTTGGGGAAGCGTTCGACATGGGTTCTTTGTAATTTTATTAGATCTACATGTTGAGAATACGATAACATTAATAATTAAATTGTTGGAGACGATTCTTAAGATATTGAGGTCCGCTTGCGTCAAAGAAAAAAATCACAGAATACTAAGAATTCAGAAAAGAGGATTGTGGTTTAGAAGTGGAAAGCAGTTGGGCTTGAAAACTAAGGGTTTTATTGGTAGAAAAAAATCCTAGTTTTAAGCATTCGCAGGTACATATTCTTGAGGTCAGTTGGAAACTTGCTGTTGATCAAGTTTTAAAGAATATGAAAAAGCGGACTCAAGTAACATCCTGTAGCTTTTTAA